TTTTTATTTTTTTTTTTTTTTTCTATCACTACAGCAAGGTTAAGGTTTTATATAATAAAATGCAAAAATTCACGCGTTCCATATCCCTCGAAATCTCTAGATCTTGTTTTCGTGATTCAATGAGAAAACGCTTTGCATCATCCCAACTTCCACCAATTTGGCCGTCATCCACTGCATCATCATTCAAGCACAATTCCAATGCTTCCTCTGAACTCTGTATCACTAAAGTAGCTATCAAAAATCTCCTCAAAAAAGTGCCAACTAAAAATGCTATAACTTTCCGGATCTTTTAAAGATTCATTTCATTCAAATGCGTTAGAAACCTTTAAATGAATTAGTTATATTTTTCATTAATACTTCATTTCATTAAGAAATATCAATTACTTCATGACTTAGACATATGATTCCATATGAAAACATAATTAATCCAATAATTTGAAAAATATTAGTTCTTTTCAGAGTCGAGATAAAAGACTAATAGAATAAAAATTATGGGAACAAGAAAAGAATAGAAAATCATAATGAAACAAACAAACCGAAAAATATTGTGACAAAGTACCGGAGCGATAAACAGGCTCAGAATGGTGCCGTCGATGATTGGTACCTCCCTTTTTCAAGCTTGAAATTCCTTTGGCAATTGTTGCATATCTCGCACATTCATTGTAAGTCACATCCATCGTATTATGTCGCCGGATTATGCCCATTTCGGACTTGAAATTTTAAGCATTAACTTTAAAAAGCTTGGAAATTTGGTGTAAGTCACTTTTTTTGCTTACATCTGAAAGAGGGAAAGCTATGCGTATGCACAACCTTCCTTCTCCCACGTGTGTGGCGTACGCAGAGCCTTTCTTCTTTCACGTGCGCTACGTACGTGAGGAGTAACACCAGCCACCTGTTGACACGTACACATCAATAACGAATTTGATAAAATTTAATGCACCTGTTCTGTTATCTCGTGGCACCAATTTAAATTATTTCGCCTAACAATATTTGCCCCTTTCCTTTTTTTTGGTTCAAGTTTTTTGAATTGTGCATTATTTGCCATTAATTTCTTTATCGTAGAGCTTTTCAAAAAAAATAAGGTATGAAAAAAAACTAGTAGAAACATGTATGCTAACTTAATTTGTCCATTTTGAAAGTAGCAGGAAGTAAATGTTTGTGAAATTTCCATTATTATTAGTTGACAGTTTATTATTTCTGCCATTTTGTTCCATTAACACTCTCTTGTTACCATCCCCTTTACTATTATGATTACAATATGTGATTATTTCAAATATTTTTTCTTCTTAAACAACGTGCTACTTTTCGTGTACTGGAATTATCATGCTTTGTTTTACAGTAATACTTGTCATGAAATAAGGAATTACAAACTCTTTAATTTTCTCTTTCCATTAGTTTTTTTTCCTTTTATTTTATAGACCTTAAATTTTTAATGCAAATGCTAGGTCAATCATGAGGTGAAAAATGAAAACATTGTTTTCGGATTTTCGCTGTAACTTAATCATGATGCTACATGAGGATTTGCAGTGTGCTGTAATACTTGAATAATTATGGAATCATTAGTGAAGGAGTTCATCAATTCGCTAGAAGGACAAGTGGCCGAACTTCCCGACATTGAATTAGCCGACCTTGCTGAAGGTATATCGTTTCTGGGCAGTAACAACACTTCTCATGGGTAGAATATTCTAAAAGTATAGTGTGCTTAGATCAATACATCAATGGCTTCAATTTATGTACTAGGAATGTTTCGAGTATTCTTATTTTTTAGATTCAAAAGCTAGCTGGACACGAAACAAAATAGTAGAAAACGAAGAAGCAGATCAGGTGATTTTCAATCATTTATTTCTGAATGCCATAAATTGCTGGACTGTATGGAATCCCATTTTATTAATGATCGTGTTTCTGCTGAATTCTTCGTTGTTTGTTTATAAATAAGAAAATATGTGCCGTAGCACAATGAAATTTGAAATCACTTGGCTAATTTATGTGTTTACCAAACGTTAATTAATCTGATTGTTAATATGGAAGAAATTTTTTGCTTATAATAATATGCCGGATCCAGCTCGTATGAGATTTGATACCTTTTCTAATATTAAAAATTGGAAGAATAGTAGATTGATAAAAAGTTGGCTGATGTGATTGTGAAAACAGCATCTGCAAACTCGAAGAGGACGTAGTACCATCATTTATTTAATTTTTTGCTAAGGATTGTGGGACCAATTCGAAATTTAGGTCTGTTCATTCAGTTGTTTGCTAGATTTCAATATATAAAAACGATTAGAGACTCACAAAAATATTTCGAGATACATTAATTAATTGATGACAGTTTTCAGGTGGAATTTGTAAAACGACGAATAACTACAACTCAGGAATTAGAAGGTGAACGTTATGGAGGTGAGAAAGTATCATCAAAAAATGTTTTTACTGGTGATGATATATCCGATCTAGCACATGTCAGACGTGATACAAGCACTGAGAGCAATTATGACTCAGGTTAGTTGTTTTTTCTATTTATGGTATTCTTTTCGGTTAACGACAAGCAGCATTTCTTTTTAGTTTGGCCACTTCAGTTGCTTAGAGATGAGTATCTGTGACAGTTTTTATCGCGGAAAATGGATGTTTTAGTGTTTCACAAGTTCATAGTTTTGAAATATGGATATTTTAGTGTTTCACAAGTTCATAGTTTTGAAATTCTTCTATTACATCATCACGTGAACTATGGAGTCACAAATCAACTACTACTTACAACCATTCAGTGCCTTAGTTAATCAGGGGGTCGCTCGTCATTTGGATATTTAGGACTCACTCTTTTGAATTATTACGATGCGTATACTGCAATATTATCAACTTGGTTATCTTGTCGGAAATGTTTGTCTTTTGTAAATGATTTTCATGCAGAAGATTTGGAGAATGAGGAAGACAGCAGTGATAGTAATAGTGCTGCCAATAGTTCGGATCAAGAATCATTTTCTGCTGACGATAATGTCGAAAGCGAAGGTAGGAAATCGTACTGTGAAAATTTTAATGTGTGAAACAAGTAGGGAAATTAAGATGACTCCATGCAAGATAATGTACCATCCATTCAGTTCAAAATGATCATTGCTCAGAGCAGATTTTCCCTTACGTTTAAGATAGTGTTGATGCCAAAAAAATGTGATTAAATAATTATAAGTTGCCAGAAAAAAAATGTTTGCGCATAATTTTGTAGTCCCAATCGAGCAATCCCAACCGAAAAAAGAGAATGGTGCTGCTAAAGGTGTGGTAACAATCTCGAGTAACACGCAGAATGGGAAAGGTATATTTTTATTTAGTATTTTGTTTGAATAGAAAAAACCCAATTGCAGTGTAAGTAGAACACCATGCAAGTTACCATACCAGATGAGCAGTTATTACTTAGTGATATAGCCAGTTATGATCGTGGTTACGACAAATAGGACTGCAGATTTATATTTTACACCCCGACTTGCTGTATACTGGACAAAGCCTGGTAACTCTATCCTTAAATATATGGAGATTTCCCGTCCAAATTCATTTTGTGAAGTTGTAATCTGCGTGAAGCGACTTAATTCCGCAATTGATTTAAAATTTTTGTAAAATAATAGCACAGTTTGCGTGAATACTGCAGACACTAAAACTATTTACCTCACTTCATCCTCATTTCTGGAGTTATGCTTTGTTAATTATAGCTGAAAGTGTTCGAAAGCAATTGATGATTTGGGACCGATTGATGCAATTGCATATCCTTTCACATGCAGCATTGAGAACATTCAATCAGCTTCCTAGAGATCAACTTGCCCAGAATTTGCAGCAGTCAGCAGATGGTGACACCAAAAAAAATTGCAGAATCAGTATGATTCAATTCTTCTTTAAAAAAAACGTTTAAGCATCTTTGTGAAAAATTGTATGAGCAAAAAGACTTTTGCAGTAGAGTATTTTCTTTCTTTTTTTCTTTTTTTTTTTAAAGAACACTTACTGATTATTTATTTTGCACTGTTTGCATTATTCAACTATCATTCATGAAATTTTCCAATGGAAGTAGTTTTTTCTACTTTGCTTTTGAGGTTTTTTATAGCCTAATTTTTTCTTTTAGAAAGTATTTCTGAAGAAAAATATTTTTAGTGCGAAAGAATTTGGAACAGTTGAATGAAATATTTACAACAATGGAAGATAAGCTGTTAAAATCATCGAAGCAGACGAAAAACTTGCTTTTTGACGATGATCATGAAAAAAGTATGTTTTTCGAAATAATCATTTCAAATGTATGCATTTAGAAATATGTTTTAATTGGCTTATGTGTAATCTGTTTTCCAGGAGTCGAAGATTCAGAAGATGAAGAAATCGAAAGTTCTATCGATAGTGATGAAGAGGACGGCAGTCCAATAGAATCTGATGCTAAACAGAGTGAAGGAGAATCCGATGTGTGCATGTCATCTGAAAAGCAAGTTCCACTCAATTTGTGTCATTTGTTCTTTGTCATTTGTATTTTGCTATTAACAGATTTACAAGCTTTATTTGCTAAAAGAATTAATACACGATGTCGAACAGCGCGTGGTACAGCGTTATAAAAACAGCTATGGAAATGTTTATTGTAGCATCACGAATGACAACGAAATTGTGAATCGCGACCAGCAGGTCTTAGGCAATAGAAGGAAACTAATGCCGAAGGAACTGATGAAAGAATATGAAAAACGCCACGAGCGATTTGCAGCATTTCGGTGAGATTGACTTGTTTCAGCTACTTCTGGTTGTTGGTGAAAAAATAATTGGTAATTGGTTATCATTAGTTTTCAGTTATTCCAATATTCACTATTCAGATCATCTACATTGTCGAAATGGGACGAAAGGACAACACTGAGTAATATTGGTATAATGAAAAATAAGAAAAAAGATTTCAGTACTTTTGAATCTGTTGTATTAAAACAGATTGAACAGGTAAAACAGTTTTTTTGATATAGGGTGCTTTTTTTTTATATGTCGATTACTTACTCAAACACGTTTTTTTTTTTGAAAAATTATTTGGTGATTTTAAGCAATATGCATAATATTTTTGTTATTGATTTGTTCTCCCCCCCCCCCCCCCCCCACGTATTGTTTCTAGCTGAGGTCAGCTTTGAAATATAAGTAGTTATTTGGATAAATAATAGTCTAGTACATACTGATCTTTTTTTTTTTTTTGCAGATAATGAATGAAAAACATCGATTATTACGTAGAACTCAAATGAAACGGCATGATGTCGATAGAATTGGAAGCGATGAAAACGTGAGTATGCCAAATTTTGGTTTTTTTTGACAGATAAATCACTTCTAAATAATTTATTTTCAAGTCATATTTAGAATCAATAACGTAGTGATTGATTTCAGAGTAATTACGATGCAGAAATATTTGATGATGATGATTTTTACCAACAGCTACTAAAGGAACTTATTGAAAGGAAGTCAGCTAATGTGGTTGACCCTGTAGAAATGAGCAGGTAAAGCGTTCTTGATAAAATTTAATAAAACTTTTTCAAATTTCATAATAATAATATTGTATGAGGAACTGAAAGACATTGCTTATTTAAATATATCGATCTTCTTGTATCGGATTTTATTACGTTCCTTCATGCACTGTATTATTTTTAGGCATTCTTTACCCTCCTAATCTTTCATCTTTCATCTGTTCTTTCAGTGGATCAAGGAAAGAAATTCAAACGTTTCGCAACATACACTATTACATATAGAAATATATAGTTTCAGTGGCATGAACTTTGACTTTTTATCATTCTTCATTAATTGTAATTTTCAAGACAATGGTTAGAAATACAAAAATTGCGACAGAAGCGGTCGAAAAGGAAAAATATCGATACGAAAGCATCGAAGGGCCGTAAGATACGATACATCGTGATTCCAAAATTGGTGAATTTCTTTCCATCAATGGCTGAGAAGGCAACATGGAGTCATGAAAAAAGAAATCAATTATTTAAATCTTTGTTTTCTTCATGATAATAAATATCCCACTTTGATAAAACTTCAAAAGATTAATTTGCTAAAATTTTTCAACCATCAGTTGTATGTTCTATTTAATGGACAGCACAAACGTTGAACCTGAATGAAATTATTTGAGAAAATTTTGATGTGATCAAAACTCATAGTCATTCAGAGGACAAGCTCCTGCTTTCCGTTTTAGTAGACCGATACAACTTTCAATACTATAAAAGCTGAAGACAATTTAGAGAAGTGGTTTCCGGAAGTTTTATGAAAATTTATTGCCGTGCAGTTACTCGACTTAAAATAATGCAGAATCATTAGATGTTATATATTTATGTCATACTAATATGGTGTTTTATCTTCCACTTACCTTATTAATGCTAATATCCTTCTTATGCTCCCAACACAGAAGTTTACTTGTTTTATGCACAAAATTCGATCTTATTATCTTGTCATGGTGGAGAAATAGCAATGGCTGGCTGGTATCATACATCAGAAGCTTTAAGCAAGCTGAGCATACATTCTCATGTATTAATGTAATGAAAATCAGTAAGTTGAAATCAGTTCTGAATATGAGGATCCTTTCAAAGTATGACTCTGATGATTCATTTCACGAATGACCGAATAATCTCTCACCTTCTGAATCTTTTCTCACAAATTATACGTATCATCTTAAAATGATCACGTCGAAATCCATTCTTTTTTCAATTTTTTTTTTGACACTTAGCCTTATAATTCTATTTTGTTCTGGAAACGTCTCTAAGTTCATAAACCACAGTGATGTATTTCTTGCAATGTTTCACAAATATTTGGAATATAACATCACAATCACCATTTATTTTAAAAAAGTGTTCAAACCGATATAGTTAGAATGAAGGTAAGCAGAAGGTAAGGCGATCAGAAAAGAGTTGCAACAGTCTGGTATAGAAACAATAACGATTCACGCCATGGCATATTTTACGTAACGGAGATTCAAGATGACGTGATAATTCAAGTAAAAACGACCGATATGTGTAGTAAAGTAAATTAATATAAAAGCAACAACTAAATGTAGTCGAAAGGATAAACATGATTATATAGATAAAACTTAGTGGGGCAATAAATGATTAAGACTTACTAATAATTACGAAATAAGCATTTGCTGTTGTTTATAATATTTCTCCAAAATTCTAAAGTATATTCATTTTAGAAATTAATTTCATATTCGAGAGAATTAAATTTAAATAAATCGGTCATAATCGGAGGAACATTTAGATGAAATCTCCAGCAATCAACCATGACCGGACTATTTTTATTAGGCTGGAATTTTTACAATGAATAAATTAGATTTTTTGGGTATCTTTAAGGCTTTCTAGATTTTATGAATTGTGCTGAAAAACAATGAATCGATTATTATACAGCGAGTAAATGTAAGGCAACTGATAAAATTATCATAAAATATGAAAGAACGCTGATTTGTAGTGGTGGAATACCCATCGATGTTCCCCTTCTATACGCATCATCTAAAATATTCTCAATTTTAGTTACAACCACAGTTTGAAATTTGAAGAATTATAAGAATTATTTCGTTTAAATTGAAGAGCATCATTTCTGGAACTTAGTTTTGTGATTCGAAATTCAACTAAATAGAGTTTGGCTTGATTCATCAAATTTCAAAAGGTCATTCTTTCGAATTTCAAAATAACATTTTATTCATCAATATTTCTTAATGTTAAAATGATCTACACGGTGATCAAAAAAAATTCCATTCCTTTAAGTAACAATTCAATCTATACTTCATATTTTTTTTCAATCTCTCAATTTTCAATTTTTTTCTAAAATTTTTGAAATTTTTCAATTTTCCATAATTAACCGTTTGTATTTGTTTCTTTCTTGTTGTCTTCCTGAACAAATCCGCCAAGTTTCGTAAATATCGTCGTTAAAGCTATCGTAAATTTGCCATCACTTAAAAGTTCCTGTTGTTCGTTGATTACTTTTTCGAAAGTATTAGCCGCTAAAAAATTGAACTTAAGTTGACATTGAATAACTGATAGGATATTGAAAATACTTTTCTCTATTATATTTGTTCCTTTTTAATCTACCGATATTACATAAGCGTTATGTGCGCCTTATGAGTATATATGTATCGGTCAGTCTATGTCAAATCCTATATAGACATTAAATCCCTCGTTACTATGTATCGGTCAGTCTATATCAGATCGTACTTCGAATGAAATCTCTCAGATTTCCGGAATTAGTTGATGATAATCAGATGACCCAAATCATCAACACTCTGATCAATTGGATGAATTCTAAGAACATCATATCTACATACCGAAATACATGTATAAGTGAATGAAGCAGTTATGAAAGAATATAATGGACTATCCTAAAAGGTATGAATCTTAATGATCTCTTAACTTTGTACTGAATTATACGTATAGCTATAATATTCCTGATAATATCTATGATAACATATTTCGTCTAGATGGTAATATAAATTGCTAAAATGGTCATCTATTAGCTATTGTGGTGATCATTAAATTACCTAACTGATCAGATTGTTGCTAATTCATATCACCTAATTATTGTCAGCTAATCCATTATAGCATTCATTCCTATAAATCTTTTGCTATTTCGTTCGCTTTATAATTGTAGTTGAAGGGAGGAAAAAGTGAATGAAATTTTCGGCGAAATAAACAAACATATGGGAGAATGCTCATCGGCTGCATAATATAATCTGCGATCATTGGTCGAGAGTACAAATGTAATCGATTTCTTACATTGTCCATCAACTGCCCAAAGGTTTTGCAATTTATCTGCTAATTGTTTACTACCCTGAAATTTATCATATCACTTCGTTGTATATTAATAACTTCTTCGAGCGATTTTTAATATAAAAATTGACAAGAACTGGCAAGATCAGAGATCAATAGCTAAAATTGTTGAAACTTAAATTTATGGGAAATAATATCAAACTTTTGATGTTACAAATCCGATTTGGTCACTAAATTCTTCTCAATTAATACTTGAACGCTCAAAATACTATACTTTTTCTAGTTTGAGTCTATCAGCAGAAGGATAGAAATAGGTCAAAAAGAAAAAAGGGAATGGAAAAAACAAAAATATCAACATATAACATCTGTAAATAAAAAATATTCTGATGACAACCTGTCTTGTGATGAATAATGTTGCATCAGCACCTTTTGTGGCACAAAAGTCTGCACTTTGATCACCCGATGTTCGTCGTGACAGTTGGAGTAAATCATTGTTTAATCGATATCTTTCTTGTTCGGTAAGTTGCTAAAACAATTTTTAGCAATTTCGTTACAACATCAAACAATAATAATTTCAATTAGCCAAATAGGTTAAAGGTTAAAGTTGTAAGAGGACGGAAAAACAAAAGAAAGGCAGGAAGGAAAAGGAATAAAATCATCCTGGTCATCCTTTAATCATGAAAGTCATCCTTTAATCACTTCACTAATTTCATTTTATTTCTTATTGGCAATTTATTTCCTAAATATTTGCCTTATTAGTAAAATAATGATTGAATAAATAATACTTCACCAAATTCAAGCAATATTATTTTCGATCAATAAAACTTTCCGACTACTGCTCCAATTTTTCATAAAGTTATTTCAAGTAAGTAAAAAAAAGAAGTAATTCAATTACTTACTCGAAATCACTTTTAGAAAATTTGAAGAATAATCGAAAGGTTTTGATGATCAGAAACAATATCGCTTGAAAATTAATAATGAAAAATGAATAAAAGTAACTTTTTCTGGATCACAAACATATCCTTTCGATTTTAATCCACAATCTCTGTAGCCATTGGTTCGAGGATTTGGAAAAGTATCGGTTACTTGTTGTTGAGTAAAACAAAACTGAATAATAACCAACAATTGTACCAATAAGTTATGATACCACATACTGAAAGTAATTATTTAATTAATTTGATTAATTTATAAAATAAACACCAATCATGGAAAAATTAATTAAATGTGCCATCAATTCATTAATTTCGAGCAAAAATAAAAAAAAATAGAAATCATTTAACACAGCTAATGTAACATTCAAGTTTACAATGTTTTTGCTAAAATATTTTCCACTTTTTTCCTTTTAATTAATATTTTGAAATGTTAAATGAGAAATGATAAAGCACATCATTGGATGGATGGATGGACAGTATTGCAAATGACCAAATGACATTTTGCCCTGTTGTATATGCTAGTGTGCTAATTAATTAAAAATATTGATGAAATGTTTGAAATACAACGAAAAAAAAGATAAAAAGGGATCTCTTATGATGATAGTAATTAAGGAGTGAAGAAAGCGTTAATTTCGTTTTCATTAAAAAAAGAAAAAAAAGTAAAAGATGAAAAGAAAGAAAGGAAGAAGGAAAATATAATCGAAACAAATTATCACGGCAAGATTTTGATACTATTCGAATAGCATGGAAGAAGTGATGAAAAAAATTTCTTACGGAAAATGATGAATTACTTCCGGAAATAGCATCCGGCAAAAAAAAAAAGAAACAAAAGCAAAGGTTGAAAGGAAATAGTTGAACAAACATATCAAATCTATTATTTTTCGTATACTAAAATGAGATGAAAGTTGGAAGATATCTTAGAGGCATAAAAGTTTTTTTTTGATCAAAATGAGATGAGTTAATTTTATCCTAAATTAATCATCCGTTTGAATGAAGAAATCAGATCGGGTGATCTAGTATGAAATGAACTGACTGATCGAAATATGATGATAACCGGATGATTCAATGTTAGATGAGTCATGTGCAATGAAATGTCGTTGATCGTAGAGATGCGGTATAGTTAGTTGTCGAATGATCCTCTTCGATATAAACTTTTGCACTTAGACATTCTATCATTCGTCCTTCAAAATAGAACATACACTTCTTTTCTTAATATTACCCCTTTTTCTTTTTTCCTTTTTTTTCTTTTTTTTTTTTTTGTGACAATATTGTCAACATTTTGCATTGTTAGGAATAAATTTGAAAATAATTTTTAAATTTAGACAGTTTGTCTCTTCAATTAATTTAAATGTATACAGCTAATTAATATGAAGATGAACGTTGGATTGGAATAAATATAGGAAGAAGTTTTCATAATTTTTGAATGAATATCCATTTGAATTTTACTTTTCGCAAATGCAAATACATTTCTTAACTGTCAATTATTTATTATACTTTTAAACTTAAATTAAATTAAAATGGAACTTATTGATTGATTTAAATAATCGATGGGTGGTGGAATAGATTCGAATGATAACTAACAGTAATTAGTGATAAAAAGGTAATTAGGTTGAAAAGATGAATGGCAAATTTCGACAGGATGAAAAAATTAAGCCTGAAAATGATTAAGAAAATTAGTGAAATAGCTAAAGAATGTAGTTATAATATAGATCGACAGTATATCGCTTAGAGACTGTATTATTTCACTAAATCTAATTTGATCTGATTTATAACCTGCTTACACTAGGTTAGGTTTGATTTGATTAGGATTTAATCTAATTCGATTAAACAGATCTCTTATTAAATTTTGACTCTATTAAATTACTCTTCCAATCATTTTAATTCTATGAGATATTAGTGTATTAAATTTCATTAAAATTTATTCATAAATCAAGCATTTGCTGAATCAATCTATTTTCTACTAAGAAATATGAAATTTCAACTAAATTGATAAATTAAAATAAACAATTAGAGGTGAGTTTTCACATCGACTAATTATTACCTGACCGTATTTCCTACCTATTACTCTGCATTACCGATAAGCGATAATATATCAAATATTCCTAAAAAATAATTTTTGTATTTCAGTAAAATTTAAATTTATCGAAACCTTCCCATTTCCATTTTATTATATCAATCTTCAAATGCATTTCGTTTGAAGCAAAAAATTGTTTTACAGGTTGATATAAATGGAATGGAAGGAAAAGAAAGAGATCATGATATATTTATATCCACTATCAGAAGTGATAGGTTGACCTTTCATATGAGTTATACAATGTTAACCCATTGAAAAAGGAATCAATAAAATCAATCAGTTATTGATTAAATTCTTGAACGATCCGAGAAAATCAATAACTAACATTATACTATGTAATTGATATCAAAGTTCATTTATACAATATTATTTCTAAATAATCCTTTTTTCCTTTTTTTGGGTATAGTTGATGATATGATTTAATTTATTTATTAATAAAAGAAGGAAAAAAAAGAACTGCAATATCAACAAGAACGATTTATTCATTATTATCGTAAGCTGTTATTAGTATAAAAATATACGAAATACGGTAGCCGGAAACCAATAAGTATGTTTAAAGGCATATTTTCTAATTCATGCTAGATATATAAATGTATCGTATCTGAAATTTCAATCATATTTCGTACAAGCCAATTTATAGTTAATAAAATATCCTTTTTCCTATCATACCATTCACTATAAAAGATATTAATACGAAAACTGAATCATTTTCAGTATCACAACTAATTACTGTAGTTTACACTCCTATTACAATTACTGTATTTTCTACAAAAATGTCAATTTTTGTTCGAAAAAAAAAGAAAAATACGTAACGGTCTTATTATTTATTTATTTTGATGGGTAAGAATGTCCTATTTTTTATGCGAAAAAATTTCGAATTGTCTAAATATACATACAAATGGAAAAAACTGCAATATCAATAAAATTATTCATATCAATATCATTATTTCACAACTCATTGTACTTGTTAAATGTTGCAATGAATTGTGAAATATAATTCCTAGTTAGGTCTTATTTTCAAGCGAATAAAGTGGAAAGAAAAGAAAAGCAATGGAAGATTTATGCTAAGATTTGTTGAGCGAAGATAGATTAACGGTTTAACTCGCATAATTAACTCGCATAATGGAAGATTACAACGATGTAATAAGAATAAGAGAATTTGTCTGTTAAAATTTCTCCGGAAATAGGCACTAAACGATTCCTCATTAAACTGAATAACATAAATCCCGCTATCTCATCAAATGAATGAAGTAAATTCAATGGGAAGAAACACTGTTTTCATTTTGACACTATCAAAATAACATAATAATTCTTTCTAAGATTTTATACTGTAAAGCTGTATTAGCAAAATTGTGTTT